CCCCAAAAATCGACAGGATCCGTTAAGCTACCGCCTCGTCCGATAGGTTCCGTCAGAGCTCTCGTTCTTGGTGGAGTTGGGCCTGTTCCATCCCAACTCCCAGTTTATACTGGCTCGTCAGTTCCCGGTGAAAAAACGACGGGTGGACGGCCGAAGGTAACGTAGGTTGGTTCTCGAAGATAGTCGTTCTCGTATGTTTTGCTATCGGTGTCGGGTCAAGGAAAAGAATTACGTTACAATATATATATATATATATATATATATATATATATATATATATATATATATATATATATATATATACATATATATAAGCATATAGGCATATTAGAGTATCTTTCATTTGACGTCTGCTTCCCTGGTACGAAGAACCCGGACATGCCTATATTTGAAAGTAATCTGTATGTATATGTATTTAAAAGGTGAGAACGAGCATGCGCTATTGACGCGGAAAACTCTTTGAGCCTGAGAAAAGCAGCTGAGAGCTTTCGAAACGATCAAAGCTCTCCTACATCGTTCTTTCTGACTAATTCCCATTCTCTGACTCACCCCCCGGCCTAGAGGAGCTCTCAAGCAGATTCCAGCATCTTTGCACACCTGATGTAAGGATCAAAGGGGATTGCTTTGTAAAGGGGAGGGTTGCTTTGGAAAGATTTTTTTTTCCTTTTCATAAATGAAATTAGCTTGGCTCTTCTTGGAGCGATTGGCTAATTAGTGCGAGTTGCAGAATTAGCAACTCTTTTGCATACTCTAGGCTTTACGATCGAATTTTCCGGGTCGATGAAAAATTTCAAGGAAAATTGAAAAAAAAATTATTTTGTGGTAAATTTCTTGAGGTTATCCTTCGAGAAAATTTGTACGATCTCAAAAGTCTGTGATAATTTTTTTTTAGACGTTCGTTTTTTCATGTGGTATAAGGTGCAGTAAGTTGAATAATCCGAGAATTCTGTCTGCCCTGTTCCGATAGCTGGGGCCTCTAATCGTCGTGGAACTTGACACCGCGCTTAAGCGTGTTCTCGGGGAGGATTACTAGTCAATCCTGAGATCGAGTTCGCCCCTCGCAGTTAATGTCACGTGCCAGTGGAATGAGCGACTGGCTGTTTGTGTACGTTAATAGTGAATTACAGTCGCGATTTGCGAATCGAGCTTTACTCCAGCTTAGACCAGGGCCGGTATAGTCCGCGGTTGATATTTACAGAATGAACTATAGATACAAGATTCGTAATAGATATCCTATGTAAAGACAGGGTATTAGGTACGTGTGAAATATTTATATTTCCAGTGGATAATTTTTGAAAATTTTTTTGACATACATATCGACAAAAATTATACTCAAAATGACGTTCGACGGCTTTAAAACTACGACGGAAATTCTGATCTTGCTCGTGTGCGAAATTCAGAGGTTCGCAGGAGCACGTAACGGCGGTTGTAGCGAAGCAACGGTATACGAACCGCGGTTGGAAGGCTCACGTATACAGGCCAAGTTCAATTCCCATTAAATCGTAGTCGGCACTTGCCGTATCGTGGAATTGCCGAGTGCAATTGCGCTCTCGATCCCGTGTACGTACGCTTTGTGGAATCGGTGGCACTTCCGTGACTGGATGATTTCTAGGTGGCCTGTGAAGAAAAAGATGGAAGATCATGAGACGCGCGAAGAATGGGTGCAGTAAAAGGTGAGAGGTCAAGAGAATGAAAAATAAAAAAAATTTCTATTGTGAATGTAAAAGATTTTTTTTATAAAAATTACACAATAAAACTACGTAAGATCGTCAAGAACGGAAGTCATATTCCAAATTCTGCATAAACAAATATTAGGAATATCATCTTGTCATATAATTTTTGGAAATTCTCGATTCAATATGGCCGCCGCATTATATCCGGAAATATTTAGGGAAGCTAGAAGGGACTTGGATTTGAAGAATTGTACTGAGAACCGAATCCCTAGGGAATTCAATGGAGCTCGGATAAGTTCGTAACTGGTACGAAAGTGGACGACAGTCGTAGCCACCAACTCGTTTACCCTGCGAATCAAATTGACAGATCAAACAAGCTCCCTAATTGCATTCGTATTCGTGGATCCTTGGCTTCTGGAGGGATGCGTAGGGCCAGTTTGCCGAAAGAAAAAGAAAAAAAAAAGACGTCGGGACGCCATTGAGTCTGGGCGTCGTTTTCAGCGGACAACTCAAAGATATAAATATTTTAAAAGATAATAGAAACTGAAGAACGTGACTATCTGCGAATCTTGTCTTATTGTTTAAACAATTTTTTCTTCAGCTTGTATCTCATTCCAATAGATGGCGCTTCTGTTTAAATTTACACGTGTTATGTATTGACGTAAGGGTTGCGTAATAAAATTTTTATGTATTGTAAATATCGCGGACTTATAGCTATTACGAGTCAGGATCGATTTTTAAGAAGTCGTAAACCCTCCTTCTGCGTTAAAGTACTTCGAGAATTGATAGACCGAACGGAAGTACTTTTACGTATTATACGATATGTCTGTCTCCCAGTGGATTGCGACATGATAATAGCGATTATTATCAAAGCAAGAGGATATATCGCAATAGGCAATTGCAAAAAGGCAATGTACAGCCTTGTAGCATTGGTTAACTGGAAAAATAGAAAAATCTTATACGAGGTATGATAACCTCGCAAAACGTATGCGTGTTCTCTTGCGCGATACACTTAACCTAAATTCCTTTGTATATTTATTTATCAACCCATATCAGGTACCAATCGCGAACCCCGATTACGCAAAGTACATCAAATGACAAGCAGCCACATCGAAACCGACTAACCTCACAATTTAGACAGCATAAGTCGATTACGTCACAATAGCATATAAAACGGTTATCGCGAAAATTCCTCGTTCTTTAATCAACACAGCAAAGAATTCCCAGCGACTGAGGTATATATCAGATATTGCATAAAAACCCAACGTACAAAACAATGCGAATTCACTGAATCCTTGACATAATCTCCAAAGAATGTTACTCCACTCAATAAACATAGTTAAGAAAAAAAAGGGAATAAAAAAAGAACATTGTTTTTTTTTTCAAGAATCTACAATTTTCTTCAACCTCCCAGCATCCTCTCTTTCTCAGCATAACCAAGCAGTTTCCAAGGCTGGACCCCCCCATTCCCAGGAGTGCTTCCATTATTCGTGGAATTCGCAGTGGATACCGCAGGCTTCTCGAGTGCACCGTGCTTAATAAAACTGCACAGGCTCCGGTGCAGCACAGCCCGAGTAAGAGAGATGCAGGTTTTATAGGTTGGGTCTACGGGAGACCTACGTCTATTTTATATATATAAAATAGGTAGGCGATAGGTGCGCTACGGTGCTGCCACTAGCGGGTGAAACCCGCAGAGGAGACGCAAGCGAACGGCACGGTCACGGGATACTGAATAGGGGCTGAAAGGATGTGCTACGCGAGTGTGTGATGGACGCTCAACGTGGATTCTGTACTCTAAAGTGGAGTCAGCCTAGCGTGAGATGCATTACGTATGCATCGCGCTGTCACGACGGGAATCCGAGCCCCCGACATTCGCTGGCTTGGCTGGATGGCTGTCTGGTTGGTCGGTTGGTTTGCTTGTTCGCTCGTTCGGTCCCGCGCGATTTTCTCAGGCAGAAACAATCCCGTAATAAAACTATTAGCTGCACTTATTACGTCCCTAACTGCGTGGAACGTTCTCCGCTATGCGAACGTGACCTAACCTAACTAACTTAATCCGAGCGCGTCTAGCACACTGCTGTTTCTGGAATTGGACCACTACCAAAACCTCAGACTGTGCCCTCTCTCTCTCTCTCTCTCGCTACGTATACCCAATGCAGCAGTGCTGTACTGTTAGGTAGCTTTGATACTGGCATACTACTCGTTATCTGCTTTCCTAAGCTCGAGAGTCCTCGAGTGCATCGCGAAACGAGCTGCTTTTTACCATGCGATATCCTAAGACCCCTTCGGTGCCTGGGCGAACAATCTTATCGTATGGTGGATTTTACCATACTGGGATTTTCTAATACTTTTTGTAATTCATAATAAAATTTATCCAGAAGTATCTCTAATTGCTATTGGTAATTGAGATACGAATTGGATGTGTTTTTAAGGTGATGTTTTAGGGAACTTTTTTTCTCTTTGTTTTTTCTTTATCGTTCGAATTAAGTCAATTGGAAGGAGAGGTTGGTATTTTATGGTCGACTTGCATGTAAGAGAAAATGCCACTCGGACACTGACCCAATTAACATGGCTGACATCATTGCTTCAACGAGTGCTTACGACACGGTGCTATTTATAAGTATATTTAACCCGCTGGAATGTCTCGGGGATCTAAGAGGCCCTTTGCAGACAAGGGCCTCTGGTATAACTCTGACAAATTGCTCGCTCGAATCACCCATGTGCTCTTGTATGATAAAATCGTTCGGGGGCGTTCTCGATGGTCTTAATTGTAGATGAACATTTTTTTTTTTTATATATTTTTGGGAATTTTGGTATACGTGGATAACAGTGAAATTTAATAGGCAAGAATTCGAGTGTTTTGATCGATCGATTGAAAAAGGGTTTTTTTTTTATAGTTTTTCAACTGTTACCGTGTTGGCTGATTTATTTGTTATGGATTTTAGAGCGTTTTACTTTTAGTTGTACATTTTTAAAAAATACGTCAAGTTAAAGCCTTCATGGCAGCTATCGAGCTAACTTACTTTTACCCGCAAGTGCGACCGCACAACGCCAAACCACTGGAGCGTTAGAGCGAACTACTCAAGGCAACGACTCCGCCTTTTTGGCCCTACGGTAATTAACCTTTAATTCAAGCGACTGTGCGTCGTCGTCCCAGCACAATTTTCCATAGAATGATCCCGTCCCTTTGATCGCATCCAACGGGTCTTTTGAATCTGAGTCGTTGCGTTGGTCACCCCAATTTCGACATTCAGTGCGAATAACTAGTAGCACATAAATGAGAGTATTGAGATTTTTTGCACTAATATAAAATTTCGCAAATTTCAATAGCGTACATACGAATTTAATTTTTGAAAATTTGGACTTTTAAACAAATTATTTTCAACATTTTTTTTTCGTTTTCCTCCAATTTCGATACGACTCGAAGATCTCGAATTTCTCGCAACTGTGGTCCATTGTTAATTTCCTTTGTTTTTTTTCTGTATCAGCACGGTTCACCAGTCGCCGTGGTTTGGTGGGTACCTGGGTACGCGTATTCTCCTAGACCGAAAAAAAAGGTGAGGATCAAGAGTGTCTCCTGATTGATGGTAAAAGTGGGAAAATGAAGAACCACGAGTAGCAGTGGACCAACGAGGAATTTCTCAATCAGCCAGTCCCGGGCGCAATCAATCTTTCGGACACCAGAAGAAGAAGAAGAAGAAGTTGCAGCCACTCGCAGGTAAGAATAAGGCAGATCGCGATCGAAGAATAAAAACTTTGAGCGAATTCGTCGGGATTGGAAAACGTTCAGTCGAGTTCAGCAATTTTACTTTGAGAAATTAAAAAAAAGGATCCTCTCCATCCTTACCGTATCAGTTCCAAGGGACCTAAACGGTCACGCTGGACCAAGGAGCCACGGACGATAAAAAAAAAAATAAATCTTTAAGTCCATATCGCCTTTTTCGAAAATTCCAAAAATAAGCTCGTTATCCGTCAACTTCTTCCTATTGGTATCCGGGGAATAATATATCCGATAAAATAAATGAGGTCAACTTTGTCTTACAGCAACGGTAAGGACAACCAGAGCAAAAGGAAGACATCGGACTGGCCGAAGATAATGAGGAATTTCTCAATCAGCCAGAGCCCCAACCATAATCGATCTACCACATGGTCAAGTGAAGGAGCCTGAGCCTATCCTGCCCATAGCAGGGCTACTATAGGTATAAAAGAGCAACCGAGCAACGAGGCAAAGTCAAGTGAACCAGCAATACAGCAAGTATGAGAAAAAGCCTAGCGAGGAGCAACCAAGGGCGGGCACCGGGACCCAGCGGGAAGCCGACGGATTCTTCATCCAAACTTTCATGCAGACTCCGCCAGTCTCCTGGTTAACTAGATGCCAGGGAAGATTTCTTCGTGAAGGGTTGCTGTTATGGGAGTGATGACGACGAGGCCTCTTGCGAAACGTTAAGGCAAAGTCAAGCAAGTAGAAGAAGAGGAAGAAGGAGAGGAAGAAGAAAAAGAAGAATTAAGATAGTGGAAAGATGGCCTCGGGGTGCCAGACAAGGTATAAGCGTGTCAGTGAATTTAACCTAACCTAACCCAGACCCATAAGCAAGCATTGTAAATGCATAAGCACACGTGTATACCTTGTTTCTCGCACTTTGCAATCCACGCGTCAATTCTTTCATGCATTTCGAACTTGTTTGCTTAACCTTGGTCAAATAAGAAGAGTATATTTCGATTCGTTCATAGGGTAATTGCATATTTCTCGTAATCTCTGCGGAGATCTAGGATAAAGTTTTTTTTTTTGTAATTAACGAAAGGAATCAGTTTGAGCATAATTGAATTTATGGATATACATGGCTTGATTCTACTTAGGAAAACAGATTGATTGGTAAGAAAATTTTTCTCAAAGTTTTTTCTATCGAGGTCGACTGTAATGGGGCGTAGTAGTGTACTGTGGGTATATATGTATATAGACTATGTCCTGGATTATATAGACAAAGGAAATGGAAGCACTAAGGGATTCTCTTTGTCGGAAGATGGCAGACACGAAGCACACTTAGCCTTCCTAATTGTCCCCGAAGCTTTACTCGTACTGCTATGTGACCTGGTGCCATCTTGGAAGGCTTGTTTTAAGTTCAGCCGCCGTGACGGGATGATCGTATCTCGAGTTGGAATTTTATAGTATTCCTTATGGAATTTCCGAGCGGGTACTACCTTCCATTGTGAATTCTGCCTGGGGAGTGGTATCTATCCCTTACGAAATCTCAGGCTGGGCGTTACTTTGACATCATCCGGGATCGGTTAAATGGGACTCGGAGCTTACGTACTGTGTATGAAGAATTCCCATAAGGTCCCATTAACAAGAACGTTAGAAATTTTTGCCATTACCGGAAAAATGTTGAAAATTCAGTGGAATTATTGTTCCGTAAAAATTAAGAATAACAAAGTATAATTATTGATAATATTTTGGTACGTCATTGTTTAAAATTAAAAAAAAATAAAGTGAATTCCAGTAGGATCCGAAAAGTTTCTACGGTTTCTGATACGTTTTAAAAATAGTTCCGATGGTTAAAACCAAAGAAACGGGATTAATAATTTTTATGTACCGACTTGCCGTAAAATCGGAATTTTTGAAAAATACATCCAGGCCTTTTCAATTGTTCTCGAGGTATCACAGCCAACTTCACACAGCCGATACAGTTCGAGTCGTTGAATCGATTGAACAGTGTCAATTCGAATTGAGGACCTCAGCTTCGGTACCGCATAACCATATCTTACGGCCATAAGGTACCAGAGACCGGTCGATGGTTACCAATAAGCCGTAAAAGATCCGTAGCTGTATCTGTATCCAGATATATAGATATAGAGTAAAGGGAGTATAAACACCCTATGAAAATAGTCGAATTCTAACTACGTCCATTATGTAAATTTTTCCTTTTTCGTCCCTGTGAATCCTCGCGAGGCTCTCTCGACTTGTATATCTTTTTTCCTTTTTCGTCAGTTGCGCACGGCCATTCCTTTGTGGCCTTAGCTCCACTGCTGCCGGCCGTCCGACCGGAATCGGGAAAAGGTGTACAAGGCTCCGTCGTGTTCGCTAAATAAACGGGCAGTGCACACCTCTTTTGATGGCCCCCGCTGAAGGCAGCGTCCTGGTCCGTACATCGCGGCCCATTAAGCGGCTAATAAGTGGACAGGGGCGGGTTACCGGTTACCGCTTACCAGTTTACCGGTTAACCAGTTGGCTAAAGGCAGCGAACCTTGTCCCGAAGACTTGTGGACCGGCGATTTCTTCCCTATGTCGTTATAGGTTAGGTATAGGGACGTCGAGACGTTGTATGGCTATGCTCGGGACTTGGGGGCCTTATCCAGGGGACCCTTGAGCCCCCCAACCCGCCCCTCTGCATCCAATTAAGTCCCGAACAATAGCTTAGGCTATGCTCCAAAGGTACGTTCACTTCTTTGCCAGATAGTTGCTTCGCGAACAATGAAAGAGGACTCTCTGGTTTATACGGAGCTTCAACCTTCTTTTGCATTTTATTCGCGAGACACACGCGTGGAATTCGAGCGATCCTCGTGTCGTGCGCGTGTAAGAATTTTTGTGATTTCGTTATTCATAGTTTTTGCAATATTTTTTTTTTTCGAAATTTCTTACACGACTATATTTTGGTGAAATTTTTTTTTCAATGTTAACTCATATTTTTAGTTATCGCGTATAATGTAATAATCTATAAAGTACATGCTATGGATTATTGGATTCGATTCGTAATTTTTGCAATTCGATTTTTTGCTCGTATCAAATTCGCTGTTTAATCGCACCAAATATTACGTGTTGATTTGCTTGCCTTTTTCTTTTTCAATTTTGACTAACGCTCAAATTATTCTCCCTGTCGGGTCCTCTTATCGTATATCCTTTCAGAGTGTCAATAGCCAAATAATTATGCGCGTTCGGTGTAATCATAAAGCAATCCAATTTGAACCCCGTTGAATCGCAATCAAACCGTGTCGTAAGAATAATTGGAAATTGTGAAAATCGTGAAAATCCAAAAAATATACTCAGAATTGAATTTTTTTTTCCAAAATGAATAAAAAAAAAGTCTCACGCAAGTTCAGCTGGGTATCAGTGTAGCTGTAAAAGAGAAATAATTGAAAATCATAATTATACACTTTACGTGAATACTGTAATATATACCTGATACATGCACTTAAGATGTAGACTATCGCCCGACCTCCGCGGCTCCGTAGGACCCTGTAGGTCAGTTAATTTTCGCAATCTCCGAAGATTCACTTTATCGCGTGACTCCGTTACACTTGGGCCTTACTATACTCGGGGGCCCTCACGATCGAGAACTCTTCCAGATTCCGAGCTCGTTGCGAGCAAGCTGCTTCTCCGGCTCCCATAGAGACCACACATGACGTGGTAGCAGCCACTACCGAACCCAGCTATAAGGAGACCCGTGAGGGCCCAATGTTATTCGGGCCCGTAAAACCCACGAAGGCACAATGGGCCCTGATCCATGGTCCGTTTAGTAGTGTCATGTACGCGATACGCTAATTAAATACGGGTGTAAAGGCTATAGCCATTGCTAGTCAACATCTGGTGTGAGGGTACCTTAACGTTATACATAAATTTTTAATTGGACATACAAAATTCCGAAAAAAATTATTTATCCCATTTTTACCCTCCGAATAAATTCGATCGATAATTGATGAAATTTTAATTCAAAATTATTTACGTTTTTTATTTTTATATTATTAATATAATTACGCTAATGCTTGTTGATGCCATCCAAGAGCCTGTATAACGTTAATAACATATAAAATTATCAACTAGAGCGTTAATAATGATATATCGGTCAAAGTTCGTAACGTTCAGTTTTATTGGTATATCCTGCAAAAGCTTTCATTACGATTTATTCAACGAACTCATTGGCAACGGCCAATCGGAATGGAGAACGTCACGTGGCCGATCAATTAACCTCACTTTAACGATGTTACGCGTGTTTTGTCAATAGAGCCAGTTGAACTTATAATTTTCACCACTACGCGGCATTGGCGTCAGCGTCACGGATTCTTTCATTGGTCAAGAATCTCGACGCATTATCGTCGTTGATTGTTGACGCAATCATGACGGACTTAATCGGTAAGAAAAACAAAAAGAAAGAAAAAAATAAGCTTAATATAATAACAAAAGTAACGAGTGCCCCCGCCCTCCGCCCTCACTGTCGACAAATATATCCCATAAAAATATCGTATGTCGATCGATCTTCTCCTCTCGTGATCGGCATCGGCAGATAAGGACTCGCGGAGTGTAGCTTTATACAAGTTGATTGGGTACGTGAATCGATCGGGCCGATCGATAATCTCACGATCGATAGATAGAAACTCGTGCAGCCACCGATGCTAATTTTCAACGTCGTGAGTTCTCGGGAAGATGTCTGCCGATCGAAAAATCTTGAGCTTGAAGAATGATCGGTACGGGAAATCGGCCGATCGGTAAGTTCAACCGCGTACGTTGCGATACGTGTCGGGTTATATAATTATTATTTACATACGCGGCAGAAAGACTTTTTTCACCCTTGTCAATTCCTAAGAACGAAGATCGGTAGCGTCCCTTTATCATTTATTGCGCAACGATCCAGACTCACGACCCTTCATTCATTTAACCGGACAAACGTATGAGAATCAATATCTGTTTACACGTCGCGGGGTTAATGACCGTGGACAGAACAAATCTAATGGCACACATTAGCCGAGCCACGGTACAATATTTGCGATGGAAACAAATGCGCGGATTACGTAACGACATGGTCCAAGCATAATTACACTGTGTATGAGAATCGTTATTGAATTAATTGATATTCAAATGCGACGAAAATTTTGGTTTTCGTTGACGAAAAATTTTTATAAAAAAAAAATGTCGTACTAGGGTATAATCTTTTTATGATGAAATTCAAAATTTTAATTAAATCCCACGCGTGAATTAATATGGCACTACTTGTCGTATGTGTGTTGCTTTAATGTGAACTGGCCTTAATTTGAGTCAGGGACCTGCGAGGGTCCGTCGCTTAAGTAGTAAACTCCAATACGTTGGCACGGCGTATTTATTTAGCGTGTAGATGCACAGTTTGATGTACAGTCTAGCACGTGTGCACATATGTGCATGCGCCTCAGTCGTAAGTACATATAAGTAAACATTCGCTTTGACTGTGCTCGCGTTGCGCATGTCGGAAGCCGAGTGACGTTTTGCATGCGCCACAAGGTTTACGGTAAACAGCAATGATAATTTACACAAGCTTGCTACTTAAGTTTGGGGAAGACGACTTGGACGGTAGGATGGACCAATTAGTGGATGTTTCGTAGGTGGTTAAAATTTTGATAATTAACGTACGTGAAATAAATGTCTGATCGATAAAAAGTTATCAGTCGATAGCTCGATTTTACGTTAAATTCGTATGAGTGGTTCGAGTGGGTGTTCTAATATTTTAATTTAAAATTTGATTTAAAAAATATTTTTTTTTAGTTAAATTTTACTAAGTAATTCGTGCTCTCTGTTCTTGCCGACTTGAGAAATTCCGAACGATATACGAATCTTGCGGTGCACTGCCAAAAGTGCAATGTACGAGTTGGCACGAGATGCATCTCACTCTTTCGGTAGACAGTCCTGCCACCACGAAGACATTACAGATACAGGAAACGGCAGCAGCCAACTTTTTCTTAGTGAGACGATACGAGTACCAGCAGTTGTGCCAACGTATAAATCGGGAAGAATGTACTCGATAACCGATTTAAATGCAGAGATGCATTTTTCTCGTGCTCGAGGATAAGTGGGTGCAGAGTGCAACGCCGTCGGTAAAGCAGAACCCATAATATCGAGAGTCGTTTTACGGCGTCTCAATGGGAATACTGTGTTGAGTGAAAGACTTTAAGATGCGAGAGAAGAGTATTTCGAAAACCAAAACCACGTAATTCCCACGTGATACTAAAGAGTGCATTTTTATATTGGAAAAGTGCATTTGGTAATGTATGGTTATTTTATTCAAAAATTCTTTGTGCTACGTGCCATATCTATTTCATGTTCGGGGGACTTTTTCGCCGTGTAAGTAAACCAAGGGTTGACCCCTGAAATTGGAATTAACCGAGCATATGTCATCACTCGATAACTAACCTAAATAATATTGTGCGATTATTTTATTAATTAACGCAATAGCGTATTTAACTCTGGTGAATTTCTCTTATAACTTTTGTTAAAAAAATCAAAGAAAGCAAGCAAAAGAAAATCCTTGGTTCCGGTACATAGAGAAGGTCAGGTTAACGCCGGTAGGGGCAGCCTGATCGCGGTGCAACCGACCTGAAAGAATGCAACCCCTTTCTCAATTCCTTTCCACGTTTTACAACCCTCTCTATTTGCTACACTGGCAGTCGTAATCTTCCCACCGTTTT